GATGACGCTGTCCTTCTTATACGACTCATCTTTATCAAGCAATGATTTACAATAACCATTAATTTGACTGTAGACACTAGTGTAAGGAAGACCTGTAAGCCATGTAAGCATATCACGTACACTGCAGGGGTATTTAGGTGAAGGTGGAAGTGTTAGTGGCATGTCGTGTAATATGTTTTAAGTGTCCGGTCAGCTCAGAAAGTGTTTTGCTTTCATATCCCTTTCCGTTCTTATTAAACAACGTCTGACCGTTGACCTCTGTCTCAAGCAGTTCATAAATGGAAGAACCATTCAAATCTCTTCTCACCTCGCCATCCTGCTTGTCTCCTACAGCGCAAACACTGTAGTCACAATCAGCAAGGAAGGCAGGTAGACTGCCGTCTAAGTTGCCGAAACATTTCTTAGTTCTCCAACCGGTGTTATGGCGGCGCTTTCTCATATTGGTTAACCGGCTCTCTATGATTGGGATTATTGTAGCACATATTTTGGCGCATTTCATGGCGTCTTCCGACGGTTCCTTTTCTTGTTGCACAGACACCGTAGTTGCAGCGGATGCTGGAAGGGGAACCGATTTTGGAGCGCCAGTTGAAGACGTAGATGTTGGAGTCTGTTTTGGTTTCTGCCAATCGATGGTCTGTCTAGAATATCTGGAGACATATGCGTGCGTAGGTGTGTGACAAAATCATTGAACCCTTTTTTCAAAGGCCTCAGCACTATCTTCTGTCCATCGTTCATGACGTCGGGATTAAAACCCCTGAGTGAATTTTCAAACTCCAAGCGCTTTTCGGTAACAAGGCAATCAAAGTGCTGGGAATCTCTGATGCGCTGGAGCAATATGTCAAGAGAGCTCGACACCTTTTCAATTTCCGCTTTCTGAGACTTTACATCGCTTTGTTCACTGAACATTTGAAAAAATCTTTGAAGCCTATCTTGACCCTTAGGACAAGTTTGCTCAGTGAAGAATGCATTGCAGGATCGATGCTGGAAGTGTAACGCGGAATATGCTTAAGTTCTTTAATTTGTTCCATCAAATGCGTATTCAACTTGTTAAGCATACCTTTAAGACCATTCTTCTTATCAGCTTCAATAATCTTCTTTATTTCCCTTCTTGCGCCAACTAAACTGTGTAAGGCATTTAAGTCCTCTTGATGTTGTTTGCAGAACATTTGTTTTACCTTGGTGTGGACAGATATGAAGGCTGTTTTGACTTCACTGGTGAGTTGTTCTTGTAAGTCGGAAATACCGTCAGTCAAAGTCTGGCGTGCCGTGTTAACGGCCAACGTGGCGTCGGTTATTGCGCCGCGGAGAGCTTCATCAAATTCCTTAATAGCCTTATCAATTTCCTCAATGCGCCTTTTAAGATCTGCAACTTTGTCTTTCAGGGACCCGACCTCATCTTTCATGTAACCTTCGGCAGATTTATCAATCCCGCTAACTAGAGGCTTGAGCTTATCGATCTTCTCTTGAAGCTCGTCAATGAAATGTTGAACATTGTTCGACTGGCCAGCGCCTTTGGGTTTCTGCAGCCTATCAATCTGCTCTCCTATCGTAGGTCCAATGTTATCAACGTGGCTGGAAATAATTCTATTCACTTCTTCATTTAACAGCTCTATACCTTTCCCGGCTGCTTCGGTGAGTAGAGGTTCGAGTGGGTTGGTGAAGTCTACTGCGTCGACTCCTGCCTTCACCCTAGCAGCAACACTGTCGGTAACGGTAACATCTGGGCCGAGGGTGGAGGACAGACCAGGATCCGAGGGCGCAAGCGCCTGTCCAAGCTCAGTCTCAAGCTTCGAAACTTTGGGATACACTTCCTGAAGGTCCTCGATTTTTGAAATGACGGACTTGATGCCATTGGAGGCCTGCGATTTATTTTCACTATATTTGCCGAAATGCACGGTGTTGGAAAGGTTGAATTTGTTACCAGTGGGTTTGATTTGGCCATCGTTGAAATACGTCTTAAGCCGTGCTGTAATGGCGTCAATTCTGGCTTTAAGTGAGTCATTTTGGTCGCCGTTTGTTTTCGTATAGGCAAAATATTCTCGCATTATACCAGTTTTACTAATATCTATTCTACCTTGATTCTCCCCAATATTTTCACCCAGTATCTTATTAATCGTCTTCTCAATATTAGTGGTGAGAGGCACAGCGCTGACGGCGAGAGCAGCACGGGTGAAGGGTTCACCTTCGGAGCCGACAACCTTTTTAAGATTTGCAGATAACTCTTCCGCAATTTGAAAGGCATTCCTAACGTTTGCCGCAATGCTGATGTTCAACGTACCATCCGTATTGATGAACGATACAACATCGCTAGCTGCTTGCCGGGCAATGGCCGATATGGCAGCTAGGATTGCTTCAACTGCGACTCGGAGATTATAACCAGCATATCCTGTGGGTTTGGGGTTGGAGCCATAACCCTCCACCACCGCTGTTTGAATTGTTTTCAGAATATCCTCGACTATCTTCGAGATATACGATTCTGTGCCAGGGGTCTTCAGTTTTGTGTCTAGTCTCTGGGCATATGCCTCCAAAAAATTCTGCAATTTTCGTAAATCCCCTGCAACATCACCGGTGGGTTGTACATCATAGGTTCCTTTAACCGTCGCATATACTTGATCCTTAAGCGCATTCATAATTGCAGGCTTAATATTATCATGCAAATCATTTGCTCCGTTGATACTGCCTTTGAAATGATTCTTCGTGGCCTTGCTGCGATCTTTGTTAAAATTAACGTAGTCCTCAAGCTTCTTTATTACCAAACCATTATTGGTTAAAATCTTAACAATCCACTCATCCATCATCCCACTCTCCGTCGTACCCATATTTGTGAAAATAGCGTCCGCGTATTCCTTCATTCGCTTCTTAATTCCTTCGATACCTGTGCTCTTAGCTTCCTTCCCAGGGCCTTTCACCACTTCAACTTGTTCATTAACTGCAGTGACATACCCCTTAACATACTGCCAACTAACTTCGTTCTTCTCTCACACTCCATAATCCACTTCTTACTTTCCCATCCAAACTGCCCAGTGCGTTATTAATTCCATTTGCGGCTAAATTAATTGCAGTGCCAATTGCATTGGCGCCCTTATCAAGTTCGCCATCCAGGTCTCGAATGTTCTGCTGGACTGAAGTGGCTTGCTGGTGAAGTTCGGAATTTGAGCCATTCGGATTCACCATCGTCATTTCCTTCTTAATACGCTTCACTTCTCCCTGAACCTGCGTAACATAGGCTTTCACATACTTATTAAACTTCTCATTTAACTGGCCCTTAAGTGCTCCAATCTGCTGATTCAACTCACGAATTATCTCTTGCAACCCGCTGCCCACCGTTTGCTGAACCTCTATATGACTGTTCCTAAGCGTCCCCAAATGCTGACTAAGGTTAGTTAACTGCGGAGTTATTCGACCAACGACATCCTGGAGCTGAGTAGTAATATCTTTGGTGCCAAGTAATGTTGTTTTCTCGTTTATGTTATTCAACCCATTGACAATCTGACTCTCATAATCACTAACCAACTGATCGGCCGCTCCGCCAGCAGCTGTCACAGTCTGCTTTAGATCACTGACAAGTTTCAACAATGGGTCCAAGTGTTCAGTCCTTTTCTCCGCAATGGCCACAATATTACGGTTGATATTATGAAATTGAGTGCTCAGTTGTGCCTGAAGGCCTGAACATTTCTTGTCAATTTGCCCTCTCACATGTTTTTCTTGCTGGGTGAATTGATCGTCCACCGCCGTCACCTTATCGGCAAAGTCACTGTTCCCAGCCACCCTTTCCAGGTGCTCGACAACCTTAGTTATCGGATCTACTTTGTGCGTTAGTTGTGCGCTAAGTGTAGGATCTAGTGTCTTAATATTACGTGTTTCTATGTCATTAAGTTCAAATTTAATCTTCTGCACGGTCGACGTCCAACCCATTAGTTGAGTGCCGAGCCCAGAGTTCTCTTGCTTCTCCACTTCCTTGTAATACTCATTTCCACCTGCACCAGATGAAATATCACTACGCAACTTACCTATAAGTGTAGATAATCCTCCAGTCACTCCTCTTGTCTTCTTTTCAACTTCATCATTATATTTCTTCAACCACTCCCTCACCTTGGTGACAGACTCCGAAAGGCCATTACGCCCGGTACCAATTGAAGAAGTTAAAGTGGAGAGAACATTATTAATGTCATTTTGTGTAGTATTATATTTTGTAACGTTATCATCATCCCTCACACTCTCCAGAACTCCATGAAGAAAGGACATCACCCCGTCGCAGAGCCTGTCAAGGTCCGAGTACACGATACCCTCTCCGGTGTAATTACCATTACTGTAGCCGAGAAATTTTTCGAGGCCTGTGCAGAGGTTATTTAAAAGGTTTTTAGTGTTATCAGATTTTTGATCAATTTTCCCAGCATTTCCACAAAGCTCTTTCAGTGTCTCAAGAGACCTCTTGGAAGCATTATGAGAGATAAGAGATTTAGAAAGCTTGTCAAGTTCAGAGGCATTTTTACTTTTATAATCGCCACTTTGCTGCTCTTTTTTAAGCGTTGCAATGTCTTTTTCAAGCTCCTGAATTTTTTGAGTAATTGACGTATTAAGCTCATTTAAGGGACCATCAGGGCCATTTAAATTGCACTTAGCAAGAATTTCAGTAAGATTTTTAGAGGCTTTTGGTTCCTCATTAAGGTGTTTTTTAAGTGTCTCATTGGCGTTATTAAGCTTTTTAATTGCCTCATCAACCTTACAACACCCCTTATCTCCGCAAGATGCTTGTAAACGCTTAATAAGCTGATTTACATTACTGTGCAAACCATTCAAAATTGCATCTTTAACTTCCTCTCCACCGCCAATAAATCCCGAAAACTGTCCAGCAAGCTGACCAAGAGAGATACGGCGGGCATCAATATCATCCAAGGCTCCTAGTCTGGCATCCTGAGTAAGGTAATGGACATCATTATAGTGGTTATTATAGTTGGATAAAAGGTGGATTAAAGGAGGGTTAAAAAAAGTAAAAGGAGGTGAAATGGCACATTTTCAGGGCGATTTGGGGGAGTTTGGGGAAAGGCGATTTTAGGTCAAGGAGGCAGCGAGGGAGGTGAAGGGGCGAAAGAGGGCGACGAAGGGGGAAGACGGGTTGAGGTAAGGCGGTTTTGGGGGTTGGGGGGAGAAGGCGGAAAACGAGGATTGGGGTGAAGGACGCCGACGGAGGAGGTGATGGAGGAGGGAGCGAAGCGACCAGTGAAAGAGGAGGTGGTTGAGTGAGTGATTAGGTGAGTTAGGTGGTTGAGTGGGTGGTTGAGTGGGTGAGTGGGTGAGAGGGTGAGTGGTTGAGTGGTTGAGTGAGTGAGTATGTGGTTGAGTGATTAGTTGGTTGAGTGGGTGAGTGAGTGAGTGGTTGAGTGGGTGATCAGGTGAGTGGGTGAGTGGGTGAGTAGGTGATACACAGATCACACGTGAAGGCACGATCATGGTGAGAAGTACTTGACGTTGCCGAGTGCCTTGACTCTTGCGGCGGCGAGGAGGGACTGCGCGGCGATGCGGTGGCTTGCGGGTGATCTCAGGTGGGAGCGTATCCTCAGGACGTCGAGGCGGACGACGGCGATGTGCAGCAGGTACAGGAGCGACAGCGACCAGAGGGCTAATAACGTTAGCATAAATGGCCATCTGATCTCTTTCATGAATTCATCTATAGCATTGAATAGTTTGACAAGAACAGATTCCCCGTCCAGTACTTTCTTTAGCACGCTGCAGAAATCGTTGCACGTTCGTTTCCTATCTGTGCCACTCAGCGTCTTCCGATCCGACAACATGAATCCATATCTGCATAATACCGATGACGTACTCTTGCACTGTATAATAGAACTGCAACCGGCATCGTGATTTGCGATTGACGATTTGTCATTAAAATTGCAGTTCTGTGGGCATTTGGCAATACGGCATCTTGCCTTATCACCGCCACATGTTCTATTGCACCTCGTAGAGACTTTGGAGTAAGCTGTAGAATGTCTGCGTGAGGTAAACAATCCATGATAAATATCTGCCAGCATACTTCTTTGAGTATATGCCAGCGATATCATTGGTAAGCGAATGCAAATATGGACCGCATTTGCCGCGCAGCTTTGAATTGCAAATAAGGCTGAAGAGATCACCGTTGGGATGTCCCATGGATTTTGATGTGTGACTAGTTGACAAGATAGACTGCACCTTTAAGCCTTCATATTCACGTTTGAAATTCGCTGCGTTGACAGCATTCTCAAATGCCTCCTTCTTATGCTTCAGACCTACTTCGTCACGTCTGCCTTTGCCGTGCCACTCAGTTAAGAAATTGTAATAGAATGCCCACATGTCGTCAAGCGACTGCGGGGTGCGATGGAGGAGACACTGCAAGTAACGGCACAGTTGACTCAGTGGCTTATCAGATCGGCTACAGAAATTACGAAGCACATCGTAAATATGCTTTCCAGTGTTCCTATGAGACGCGGTCACAGCGATTTCAGGGAATCCCATGGGCGTCTTACATGGCGTGCTAGGCGACGACTTGGGACAGCTGGAACATGTAATATTTGTCCTCTAAATGATACGTTATGTGGCAAGTAACCTACAAGGCCGTCTTCGAGGAACGACTGTAATGGAGATTTCACGCCACAAGTAGGGTGCTGGTTACATGGTTGGTCAGCCCTTGGTTACCCTTTTGGGTAGCGCTTTGGGTAGCACTTAGCTTACAGTCTTGGTTGTCACATTGGAGAGAGTTGCACTGGAATGACGAACCACCGATTTGGTTGCCGTACCAACACTCTCTCCAACCGCTTTGGTCGGAGCCATATTTGCATTGTTGGTATAGGAAGTGTAGCTGTTGGTGCAGCCGTTTGGCGATATCATACAACATACACAGCAATTGTACCATGGAACTAGGGTAGTACAGCTTCAGTGAATTGTTGGAGAACTCAACGGCGTAGATACCACTGGCGTGCCCATTACCCAGTATAGAAGTGAGGACGGGATACGCCTTCTCACACATCTTTGTCAAGGCTTTTACTGTTATAGGTGCAGTTACATTTGAGGGAGACGCCTCAATGGGCTTAACTGATTTCTTAGTTGGCTCCGCCTTATCTGCCACCATGAACTCGGAATTAATGTGCTGCTCAAATTCTCAAATACAGGACTAAACGGGAAACCGCAACACCACGCAAGCATTTCGTAGATGGAACATGGAACTCTGGGTGAGTCTAAATGAGTGTGGTGGCAGACCTGTAAGAACAATTGGTGATATGAATTAAGTTCAGGGATTAAGCCCTTTTCTTCGGAAACCTCAACGCTTATCCCATCTAGTTCTGCAGCACCGGGAGCTGAGGGGTCAGACTTAGGACTAAACAGTACATGTTCACCGGCTGTGATATGAGTGTAAATATTATTACCTTTAAAGGTGTCTTTATGATTAAGTTCACCGCTATCGGCACTGTCGCTAAGAGTGATATCGTAACCGTTTTCACGGAAGAATTCTTTATGTAAGCTGCGAGCTTGTTTTGTGGAAGTGTACATTTTATACTTTCGCCATGCACTATCATCTTTTTCAAGATGCCCTGCAAGTTCACCTAACGTTTCCCGTATGATGGGAACTATGGTGAGACACGCCTTGGCGCAGCGCTCGCCGTCCGGCGTCAGCTTCTCTTTTGCCTGGTCAGCAGTCAGAGGCTCAGTCCACTTTTCGATCGGCTTAGCGCCCTCGTAGGCGTTTATGTAGCACTTGGACAGCACGTCGGTCAGCGCCGTCATTCCGTCCTTGAGGGACTGTAACAGGGCAGTGGACTCTTCGCCGAACTGTTTAGGTGTTAGGTCATTAAGCTTGGATTTTAGGGTGTGAAGGTTATCGGTGAATGTGGGATCGAAGTGTTTAGAGTTACCGAGTTCCTCGAACATCTTGTGAACAAGCAAGTAGATTAATTTAACATGACTGCGAATTCCAGTCTTACGAACTAAAAGAGTTTTTACGTGGTCCGTGAGAACCGTTATAACTACGCTGGCGTTGGTAGATAATACGCTCACGTCGTCATGCTTGTGAAGCCTGCCGACAATGCTTTCCATCTTCTTCATGAACCCCTTCGCGCCTCTGTCCGCGTCCGCGGTGATTTTTGCCGGCAGTTCGTTGAGCTCCGCCTGGCATTTCGCGGCGAAGGCTTCCAGCTGGGCTTTCATGAACGTGACGTATTTCGCGCGGAGGTCCTGGGTGATGGCGGTTTCGGCTTTTTGGACTTGGGAGATGACGTGTTGCTTGAGGGCTTCAATGATATTCTTAAGCAACTCATCGGCTTCTTTGAAAAATGAATCACCAGTAGTGATGGTAGACGTAAGCGTAACCTTTTGAAGTTGACTAATTTGCTTCTCAATCTCTCTCAGTTTAACTTTTATGTTGCTCTCTCGTAGAGTGTTTAAATGGCCGTTGGCACTAGCACTCTCGTTGGTAATCTCCGAGCAGAATTGAGCGATGTTCCCAAGCACATTTCCAACATCGTGAATCTTAAGCTTCTCAATCTCCTTCTGGATCAGCGCGAGGCCTTTGGCGGAATGTTTGTCAATTGTCCAGGTTGATCCACTGCCAAGGCCATCAGTTTTTAATTCGGTTTCCAATTGCTTTTTAAGGCCATCGGGTGGGTTTGTAGCTTTACTAACTGCCTGGATGAGGGTGGTGAATGGACCAGTGATGCCTAGTGCAAGGCTGTCAAGCTGCTGCGTGAGGCTGTTGATGCCAGCAGGAAAAGCATTCACCCTCTGTGACAATTCACTTAGTAAATGAGAAGCATGCTCCAGACCAGCTAAGTTAGGAGCTGCCTGCCGGCCACGTGACAATCTACTATTGCGCTGAAGCTGAGTGTGAAGTTGGCTAGCAAAGGCCGCGGCACTTCCAAGGACACTTTGAAGTGGACTAGTATTATCGGTAAGGTTTTGTGAATTTGTATTTTGTAGCACATTTGTAATTTGCAGATTTAGTGAATCCACATAATTTCTAAGGAGAATTTTAATGGCGTCCGAGCATGTGTAGAGGTTTTGGAGATTGGTGGCTGTCAACTGACTTTGCATATGTGAATTGCCAAAGGACTGTGAAAGTTGCATAATTGCATCTCGCTTCTGCAAATCATCCAACTGCTGTAGTGATGGAGATAGCTGCGAAGCTCCCACACCGTTGGTGCCTTTAGCAGTACCAATGATCTGTTTAGAAATTGTGTCCAATTGTTGAAAATACCCGGATACATTATACCCGTTGAAGTAGCCACGTGTAGCCTGAACGGTATTAGATCCATTTGAAATATGAGACACTATATCGTCTACCAATGTCGTTATTTCAGTGCCAAGATTCTCCAGGGAATACATGGCCTCGTGGGAAATACTCCTCAGCTTCTCCGTTGTGGACGTTTCCAATTGTTGCTGACCGGTTTCTTTTAACCGCCGCACCGCGGTAGTGATAGCGTTCTTTTTATCTTCAGTAAGCTGAGCAAGAATGCTTCTAACATTTTGCAAAGCGGCATCCACAACTTTCCCGGCCGCGGTGTTCCACTCGTCCAGCTGGGAGACTTTTTGGCCGAGTTGATATCCTACATCTGTTAGATCTCTATCAATCTCAAATTTCTTAGTTCCGGTACCGCCGTTTGCCTTGTCAGATATCTCTCTCACTCTATCTTCTGCTTGTCCAATGACCTTGAATGCCTCCTCGATCCATGCCTGCAATTCCTTGACGTACTTCTGCAGCTTCTCATCAATTTCCCTGAGGGATGCTAAAATCGCCAACAACTTTTGTTCCCATTTCTTGATTAGAGCTTCAACATCTTTCTTGATTCTTTCATTAATCTCCGTTCCAGCCGCCCTGAGCGCCTTGATGACACCCTGCTCCACCGCCTTCAGCTGCCCCGCCTGCAACCCATGAATCCTCACTAATTCACCACGCTGATACGCAATACTATCTCTAGCACTATTAACATTACGTTTCAAGTCATCTGACAAATCGCTAACGTGTTCGCTATTATGTGCAATATTATCGATAAAGTCCTGTGCCTGCTGGAGACACTCCTTCACCTTGTTGTCCATTGCACCTGTATCAGAATGAGAATCATGAATTTCACTTACCTTTTGTTTGAGCTTAGTCATCTGTCCCTGCAAAGTATTAATAACATCACTCACCTTTTTGTTCGACGCCTTCACACCCTCATTATACTGCTTCACCCCCTCCACCACCTTGCTAATCGCAGCATTAAAACCCTCTTTACCACGATGTTTATGGGTGATAAGAGCATTAATTGCACTTTGAATATCATCTTTATGTAAGCCTAATTTAGGCTTAATGTTACTTAAAACTCCATGAAGGAAAGACATCACCCCGTCGCAGAGCCTGTCAAGGTCCGAGTACACGATGCCATCGCCCGAGTAGCCTTTGGAATGTTCATTGTAACCAAGGAATTTTTCTAAGCCTTCAGTGAGATTTTTAAGGACCTTTTCACATTCTTCAGCCTGTGTTTCAGTGCCAATAAATTTCTGAAGATTATTTCGAAGACCATTAAGTTTATCCTGCCTCTCCTTGATATCCCCTAAGGCTTTCCCCCTGGCATCCTGAGTCAGGTAATGTACTTCATTGTAATGGTCATTGTAGTTGGATAAAAGGTGGATTAGGGGAGAGTTAAGAGAAGTAAAGGGGGATTATTAGAGGCGATTTTAGGGTGATTTGGGGGATTTTGGGGAAAGGCGATTTTAGGTCAAGGAGGCAGCGAGGGAGTGAGGGAGGTGGGTGGACAGGGTGAGGTAGGTGAAGGGGCGAAAGAGGGCGATGAAGGGGGAAGGTGGAAAACGAGGATTTGGGTGAAGGACGCCGACGGAGGAGGTGATGGAGGAGGGAGGCAGGGAGCGAAGCGACCAGTGAAGGAGGGAGGTGAGTGGTGGTTGAGTGGGTGAGTGGTTGAGTGGTTGAGTGGGTGGGTGAGTGGTTGAGTGGTTGAGTGGGTGGGTGAGTGAGTGAGTGAGTGGGTGAGTGGGTGGGTTAGTGAGTGGTTGAGTGGGTGGTTGAGTGGTTGAGTGGGTGGTTGGGTGGTTGAGTGAGTGGTTGGGTGGTTGAGTGAGTGGTTGGGTGGTTGAGTGAGTGCGTGATTAGGTGAGTGGGTGGGTGGTTGAGTGAGTGCGTGATTAGGTGAGTGGGTGGGTGGTTGAGTGGGTGAGTGGGAGGGTGATACACAGATCACACGTGAAGGCACGATTATGGTGAGAAGTACTTAACGTTGGCGAGTGCCTTGACGCGTGCGGCGGCGAGGAGGGACTGCGCGGCGATGCGGTGGCTTGAAGGTGATCTCAGGTGTGAGCGTATCCTCAGGACGTCGAGGCGGACGACTACGATGTGCAGCAGGTACAGGAGCGACAGCGACCAGAGGGCTAGTAAGAGGTAAGTGAAGAAGTTGAGAAATATTGAAGGATTATTTTAGGCACATTTTCAGGGCGATTTGGGGGAATTTGGGGAAAGGCGATTTTAGGTCAAGGAGGCAGCGAGGGAGTGAGGGAGGTGGGTGGACAGGGTGAGGTAGGTGAAGGGGCGAAAGAGGGCGATGAAGGGGGAAGGTGGAAAATGAGGGTTTGGGCGAAGGACGCCGACGGAGGAGGTGATGGAGGAGGAGGGAGCGAAGCGACAGTGAAAGAGGAGGTGGTTGAGTGGGTGAGTGAGTGGTTGAGTGGGTGAGTGAGTGGGTGAGTGGGTGGGTGGTTGAGTGGTTGAGTGGTTGAGTGGGTGGGTGAGTGAGTGGGTGGTTGAGTGGGTGGGTGAGTGAGTGGGTGAGTGAGTGGGTGGTTGAGTGGGTGAGTGATACACAGATCACACGTGAAGGCACGATTATGGTGAGAAGTACTTGACGTTGGCGAGTGCCCTGACGCGTGCGGCGGCGAGGAGCGACTGTGCGGCGATGCGGTGCGATGAGGGCGATCTCAGGTGGGAGCGTATCCTCAGGACGTCGAGGCGGACGACGGCGATGTGCAGCAGGTACAGGAGCGACAGCGACCAGAGGGCTAACAACGTTGTCATGAAAGGCCATCTGATAGTACACAGGGAGTTGTCACACTCGTCGAATAGTTCTGTGAACAGCCCCGATTTGACAACTCTTTTTAATTGACTAACTAAATCAGAACATTTTCTCGGGTAGCTTAGATCATTTAATTCTCTTGGGTCACCGAAAGTGAATCCGTACTTGTATAATGTAGGTGCTACTCCCCTACAGTGAACAATGGTAATACAATTACACAGATGTTCGTCGTCGCCGTGCTTGCCACGTTTACATGTATCACTGTTAAGACATTTACGGCATCCCCATTCCGGACAGAATATTTCTTTAATGGCATCTAGCAGTCGCTCAAGATATTCTAGGAATGCCCATGGCAAATATACAGCCCAGGAGAGGTACAGATTACAGTGTTTCTTGGCTAGCAGTTTGTACATGTCTGAGCATACAATGGATAAATATGGAGCGCATGTATATATTTCACTATTGTTTTTTCTACAAATACCCAGAGTGGTGAGGCTCCTAACATCGCAGTGCTCTGCTTGAGTATGGCAATTATAGTCAGCGCCGTACGCATTTCTCAGCGCTTTGGTCAATTCTAGGCCATTTGTCTCTAGATGTATTGTTGCGTCATGAATAGATGAATGAATCCATTTTCGAAGAAGATGATTTCCACTATTCTGCCACTCATTTACTAATGACAGTACAAATGAGAGGTGTTGTGGTAGCGTGGATGGCGGTTTAGGCAAAGCACAGAAGAGGGCTGAAAGATACTCACTCCTCAAGAATTCACGAATACTTTTACATAAGGCATAACCAGTTTTAGTGCTGCCAGAAAAGGCCCGGAAGCCGAGAGGCGTGAGACAGGGCATTCCTGGTTTACTAGTAGGACACGTGTTACATACAGATCTGCACCCGACAGATATTAGATTATGAGGCAAGTGACCATGCAAGGAATCAGTTAGGTAGGACTGAAGTGGTGACGTTGGTTGGCAGTTTGGTTGGTCATTTGGTTGACTATTTGCTTGGCACGTTGATTGGACACTTGGTTTGTCAGTTGGATGGTCGGTACATGGAGATTTACTTGTTGGGACATCTCTGCCGTACTCGCAACGGCGCCAACCCATATGCTTAGTAGACATACTACACTGCGTTTTTAAATATTTGAGCGGATGAATCAGTCGACCGAGTATATCTACAAACATGGATAGACAGTCCCCGGCGCTGGAAGGGTAATACAAGCCTAGCGTGTTGTTGGAAAGATCGCTGGCGTACGTTGTGTATTCGTCGCCGTGTCCTCGTATGGCTGTAAGCAACTCGTGAGAGTAGGAAGTTATATGCGTTATTGCCTCATGTATGTCGCTGTATGTTACGTCACGTGGGTAAGCCTTCAACGACCGATCGTTGAGTTTTTCAACAGTGAGTTCGTCTGCCTTTACATCTTCGGAGCGCTTTTTCTCCGCTTTGTCGAATAGATCACTGAAACTGTCAGACATCAAATCTAAATATACGGAATTGTAAGGGAGGCCTGCATACCATACAAGCATATCATTTACTGAACATGGGTGCTTTTTGGAAGTGAATTTAGAAATGTGACCGACTTTATTGTACTGGACAAAATAGTCGTAGAGATCATAAAGTATGCCGGAATTATCACCACGCTTCGTCGACTTGAACAACTTCGCAGAATGTGGCCCTAGCATGGACGCAATATGAATGCCCGCTAGTTGGTCGCCATTATTCCGCACCTCACCATCTTGTAGGTCCTTTCCTGTCGACACTTTATATCCATAGTTGGTGAAATAATCACCGAGAATATTCTCACTTCCCTGGGATGAAGCGTAGATTTTTCGTGCCCTGCACTTCCCATTACAATCTACTCTAAGATCAGTCAAATCTGTCACAACTTTAGGAACAACCGTCATAAATATTTTGCTATATTTAGTATCGTCGGCATCCTTGTATCGTAGACCCGAATATGAATTCACGTATGCATTCCCAAGTTGCCCGGCTAACGCCTGCAGGCCGTCCTTTACTACGTCTAGCAGAACAGTGCACGGGCCGCCAAACTTGGACGGCGCGAAATATTGAAGCGCGCTGTTTAAAGCGTCTACGTTTGTTTTGAAAGTGTAGTCGAAATGTTTGGACTGTGTAAGACCGTCGAGAGTTTTGTCCAATTTTTCCTTTACTCTGACGAGTTTGGCAATTGCATCTGGAGCGTCTGAGGGAGACTGCTTTTTGACATATTCCTCCATTTGGTATTTCACGTACTTGTAGATGAGCGTGAAGTATGTCTGCATTTTTTCCACGAAGGTTTTAAAGTCACTGTGGTTTGGTGCATTTTGCAGAGCGTCCAGCTTACCGCCTTGCTTGTCATACAATTTGTATAGTAATCCCTTTACGCCGCTTGCTAAATCATCTTTGATAGTCTCGTTTATTGCCAGAATATCGTATTCGACCTTTGTTCTCATAGTCTTGAATGCTTCGATGATTTTCGAATAGTACGCATTTTGGGCTTTGGACTGGATATCCTCGGTGGCATCCGCAACCCTGTCGCGGACGTAGGATTGCAAATTCTTTGTGGCCTCGTCGGTGTGAAATTTGATAACAGAAGTGTAGAAGTAATTTGCTTTCTCAACTATTTTTGTCAAGGTGTTCGGATTGTTCTCACCTTCCGAACCTAAGATTTCTGCAATCGCCACACGAATTTTGTACAGATCCGTTTTCAACCCATATATGTTACCGGCATAATTGTTGATTAGCATGAGCTGCAAATCCTCTAACAATTTTTGCACGCCTCTATTTTCATCTGGCTGCTGAACACTCTTGGGATCGTTACCTGGCTTAACGACCAACTGCTCGACAGCTTGGCAAAAATTATTTAGCGCATTGGTTACCTTGGTGCACAGTCCGCTAAAAGTGTCGTTGTAGAAGTTATCATCAGTTTTAGTGTTTCCATCTTGGTCCACTATTTTTCCCAAATGTTGTTCGCTTTCCACCTTTGTTTGAATGCTGGTTATGATCTCTTCCAGTGCTTTCTTCATGCTTTTGCTGCCGCCACTGCTGCCATTTTTACTGTATCTCTCAAGCCTGTCAAACTTAATAGGACTGCCTATACCTTTATCATCATCCGGTAATTGGTCTTCAACTTTCTTCTCAAAGCCTGCGACGTTAAGGGCGGATTCAAGCTCCCTTATTGGTTGCGTCACGTTTTGCAATGCGTTACTAATGTGTTTGCCGTAATTTGTGTTTTTATCTTCAAATTGATCATTGATTTCTCCGATCTTTGTTAAAACCCCTTCCACGTTGTCACCGAGATTGTAATCCATAATGTCGAAGGTGAAAGCTGTGAGTTCCGCTTTAACTTGACTCGCAATTGAATTGAGAGAAACTAAAACGGCTTCCACTGCGTCCTCGAGATAGGTCGAAGAATATCCATGGGTATTGGGGTCACTTATACCGTATCGATGCTCAATCGGCCTGGCTATCTCTCGAACAAATATCTGGATTTTCCCATTACCCGTAAGCTCCCCCTGAATTCCGGCAACTAATCTATCAATTCCCGCCTTAACAGCTTCAATATTTTTCTTTATGCTCCCTCTGTCTTCCTTGTTTGTGACAATGACCAATTTGCTAGCATCCGAAATCATGCTGCTAAGTGATGCCTTGATGCGGTCCTTGATTTCATGTTGTAACTGTTTTAGACCTCTGATCTGCACTCTATTCGGATGATGCTTCCAATACTCTTCAACCTTATCTATGACAATTTTATCCTCGTCAACAATCTTGGCAATCCAGCCCTTGACTAAGTTCTCAAACCCATACGGTCCCACTTTGAACCTCCCGGCCCACTCTGCCACTTTTTTCTTAATACCTTTGAGACCTGCATACGTGTATCCGTTGCCGCATATTTCACCAACGTGCTGTTTGATCTTCATCTGAAGCTGTGTCCAATTCATTTCTATACTTAGATCATCTGCTCCACCAGATCCCCTCTGAACCTTTTCTTTCAAAGTACGAAACGGAATAAGAGCTTGGTCCACTAACGCTTTAATATCCGCTTTAATCTGCTTTTTCACATTCCACAAATCGTATCCAAGTGCTGTATTTAGCTCATCAACAGCTAGCGTCGCTGGCCTAATCCAATTCTGAATTTGCGTCTTAACCGTCTTAGCAACGTCACGAAGCGCATTGGCCTTGTTTTTGAAATCATCCGCAGCCTTTTCAACCGCCATCCTTTTCGTTCGATCACGCTCATCTTCTTGACAATTAAGGAATTTTACAATTTTCCTAGACTTAGCCACTGCCACATCCGCGACCTTCACTGCTGCGGAAATCCATGTTGTCAGGTCCTTGTCGACCTGACCTAATTTACGTTGGACATCTTTAATTGGCTCTTGAATCCGCAAATGAAAATCATTATGAACACGATTAGACATAATTCTAAGACGGTCGTCAACTTCGCCGTGGACTCCATCTCTCAGCTCCTCCAGCTGAAGCGCCGCCATGTCAACCAGAGCTGTCAACTCCGTGTTACTCGCCGCAGCCACGAACGACTTAACATGTGTTTCGGCACTACTAACAGCTCCCTGCAGCTTCTTCTGAAGCGCAGGATCGAGCTTCATATACGCCTCTTTTGCGGTGTTGAATGCTACAGAAATGTCACCGGCTGCGCCGATGCATCCCATCAGCCTGTTAGACACAAGCCTAAGTTGGTCATCGTGTGCTAAGTCATGAAGTGAACTAAGTGCATTATTCATATTAGTGAGTTTGTCATCTTTAAGTGCGTTAAGTGCATCTTGAAATGTTTTCTTCCTCTTCTCCAGCTCACCGCTCCACGCCCGCAGCGCCGCGGAGACTTGTGTGATGGCTTCCTGAAAAACATTAGAACCAGAATGCATCAACTTACTGATTGAAGAAGGAAGATTCTTCAATTTACCTTGAACATCATAAGTTGTAACGTTATCATCACTTTTAACACTCTCAAGAACACCATGAAGGAAAGACATCACCCCGTCGCAGAGCCTGTCAAGATCGGAGTACACAATTCCTTCTCCGGTGTAATTACCATCCTGGTAGCCGAGAAATTTTTCGAGGCCTGTGCAGAGGTTATTTAATAATGTTGTAGAAGGATTATTTTAGGCACATTTTGAGGGCGATTTGGGGGAGTTTGGGGAAAGGCGATTTTAGGTCAAGGAGGCAGCGAGGGAGGTGGGTGGACAGGGTGAGGGAGGTGAAGGGGCGAAAGAGTGCGATGAGGGAGGAAGATGGGTTGAGGAAAGGCGATTTGGGGGTGGAGGGGGAAGGTGGAAAATGAGGATTTGGGTGAAGGACGCCGACGGAGGAGGTGAGGGAGGGTGAGGGAGGAGGGAGCGAAGCGACCAGTGAAGGAGGGGTGAGTGGTTGAGTGAGTGGGTGGTTGAGTGAGTGGGTGGTTGAGTGAGTGGGTGGGTGAGTGAGTGGGTGAGTGGGTGAAGGCACGATCACGGTGAGAAGTACTTGACGTTGGCGAGTGCCTTGACGCGCGCGGCTGCGAGTAGCGACTGCGCGGCGATGCGGTGGCTTGAGGGCGATCTCAGGTGGGAGCGTATCCTCAGGACGTCGAGGCGGACGACGGCGATGTGCAGCAGGTACAGGAGCGAGAGCGACCAGAGGGCGAGGAGTAAGGTCATGAAGGGCAGGCGGATGCAGTAGATGAAATTGTCGATGACAGTGAATAGTGTGGTGAAATGATCGGAGTTCACAACTTTATCAAGTTGACTGCAAAAATGATAACACGATTTTTTCTTATCTATCATTAACGTATTAGCGTGCCCAAATGTTAATCCGTATCGATAAAATATTGAAACAACGCTGCCACACTGAACAACTGAATTACATTTACAAGCGTGTTTTTCGCCATGCTTACCAGGGGCACATTTACACGAAGCGCAACCATAGCTTTTACAGCTGATTTGTTGGAATGCTAACAACAATTCCTTAAGCAGCTCCCACAATTGCCAAGCAGTGTAAACGATCCATGATAAATAAAGTGCAGCATGCTTTTTAGGATATGTATTATAAACATGGAAATATAGAGGTTGGAGATAAGGGGCGCAAGTCGGTGAGTTGTTGCACTGAGATCGGGCAGTAAGACTAGCTAAGTCCGAGTGGGTGATCGTGGTTGTGTCAGCGCCATTTGCGGAAGCGCTCTTGTGATCATTGTCGGAATGATATAATTTTGTAAGGGCATTAGTAACATCGGCGTTAGTAAAGTCACCATGAAACCACTCTGATAGAGGGAAGGCTGCGGTTATGATCTCGTCTCTCAGATGTTTTTGGAAACCTGAGTTATCAGTGTACCGACCCTTTTGTTTCAATATGTCAGTTGGATGCCATCTTCTGAACAACTGGCAGAACAACGTGAACATGTCGCCGAGATTCTTTGGTGGCGATGGATACAAACAGCAAATTCCACGTAATAGGGCGGTGAGTGGGCTGGCAGCGTTTTTGCATAAACTTTCAAGTACGTTGCATATATCTTCACCGGTTCCCGTTTTTGACCCCGCATTCGGCAGGTCCCAAAAGCCCATGGGCGTAATACACTGCTGGCCAGGTGAACCTTTTGGACAAGTAGAGCACTTGGGCTGGCAACCGACGGATGTTAATTTATGAGGTATACAGCCAGGTAACTGGTCCATTAGGTGAGACTGAAGCGGTGATTTAAGCCCGCACTTGGGATGTTGGTTGCACTTTTGGTTAGGTGTTTGGTTAGTGTTTTGGTTAGTGTTTTGGTTAGGGCTTAGGTTGGACTGTTGGTTGGAACATTGCATAGTGTTACAATGCCAACTGGACCCACCGATGTGTCTGCCATATTGGCAATCGCGCCAGCCGTTGCCGTCCGCTATATTATATTTACACCGTGCGCGTAAGAAGTACAGTGTACATATTAAACGCCTACATATGTCAACAACCATATCAAATAAGCTGCGAACATCTGACGGATAAAGGAAACCACGGGAATTGTTAGAGATATCTACGGCATATGGGTAATCTGCCTGGTCGAAACCATGGCCGTGACCTTGTATTGTGACAAGGACACGGTATGACATGTCACAAGTTTGATCTAAGCTATCACGTAAATTAGTTTTCAAAATATCATTAATCACGGCATCCGGTTTCTGGGATTTTTTGGCAGCGTCCTTTTCTTCCTTTTTAAGAAGGTCTGCGCAATGCATTTCAACCATGCTGTATACGGAGGTATACGGGAGACCGCCGAGCCACGACAGCATGTCACGCACATTGCAAGGGTATTTAGGTGATGCAGGAAGAGTTAAGTGGCAAGTCGTGTAATAATCTCTAAGGTGGTTGTATATACATGTAAGTATATCTAATACACTGAAGTTACTCGACTGTCCATTCGGGTTACACTTTTGAAGATGCGTATTTTGTTTTGCCTGGTCGATTGATTTTTCAAGCAACTTGCCAATTTTGTCACCGCTCATATCAAGATCACATCTTATCTCTCCATCTTGCTCCGTGGAAGACTGGGAAACGCGGTAGCCGCAATTGGTAAGGAAACCGCCAATTGTATCTTTTTTATTGCCGTAGCATTTTCTTGAATCCCAACCTATGTTGTGACAGTTTTCCTTCAAATGCTTCAAATCGCTACGGCACGTATTGAAGATGGTAACAAGGATTTTGGCACACTTATCTTTGTTATTGTTGTTTATCTGCTCTCCCGAGTACGCCGACACGTACGCCCTGTCGAGCTGATCACGCAATTTATTTAGCCCCTGTTTGAGCACGTCAAGGAGCAAAGCGTTCTCCGGGCCGGCGAACTGAGACGGCGTGAATTTGCTGAGTTCAGTGGAAAAGGATGCTAAGTGCGTTACGAAAACATTATCAAAGTGTTTTGATCTGCCAAGATTTTCAAGTAAAGTGACAAGTTTACTTTGCACTTCACCCAGCATTTTGGTTGGCTCTTTGGTTGTGGAGTTAGGTGGCGACGAACTTGGAGGCTTGACTTGTCCCTTGATATATGTGAAGATGAGTGTCAAATAGTCTTTCAGTTTCTCGGAGAGCTGTTTGAAATCTTCTGGCTTTTTAGGATCCTGATGCTTTGTTAGATCATTTAACGTCTCTCCCTTACGATCATACATCTCCTTCAACAGGCCTTTCAGGCCTTTGACTTTGTCAGCTTCAATCAACTTCCTTATTTCTTCACTTTGCTCGCTGACCAATTTCTTGAGCTGCTCCAAGTCAGCCTTGTGCCCTTGGTTGAACATTTGTTTCGCGGCGGTGTGGACGGCTGTGAAGGCTGCTTTTACGGCTTTGGTGAGTTCCTCTTTGTCTGTGCTTATTTGTTTTTCTAAGGTTTCTTTGGCTTGTTGAACAGTCTCTTTTGCGGTTGAGATGGCTTCTTGGAGGGACGCATTGAAGGCTTTTATTTCTGAATTAATTTTCTTAGTGTCCTCTAGAACACGAGCAATTTGTTCTTTCACCAGATCAATGTGCTGGTTGACATGCCCATTGGCTTTATTGTTAACATCTTCTACAGATGATATGAGCTGATTGATCTGTTGCTGCAGCTTATTAATTTGGGTCTGAATATTTTCCTGGCCCTCTTGACCTTTCTGCAGCTTATTAATTTGCGGTCTAATGTCAGCGTCAATACGACTCATCTCTGTTTGTATAGCACTAGTCATGTTATCATTTAACTTTCTGATACCCTCTTTGGCCGCCTCCTTGAGTAGCGGTTTGATTTTGTTGTCGTTGACGTCGGAGATGGCCTGTTTACCGAGGGCCGTGTTTATTTGGTTACCAAGCTGTCCAATCTCGCCTGTATGAGAAACTTTAACCGCCTCCGCAAGATACTCTCCAAGCTTCGTAACCCGATTTATAGCAGTCTTCACATTTTCGCCAAGTTTTGGTTCCAGCACAAATGATTGAAGTTCGCTGGCTACTTTTCTGGTCATCCCAACGAGTTGCTCAAGAATGAGATGAACGGCCCATATGAGGTTGTGTTTCGCGCTGTCACCCTTGTTATGGAGACCCGTCAACGTAGAATCTTTTGCAATCCCTTCCTTTACTATTCCTCCGGCAAACGAAGCTAGTGTGCCCTCCCTAATCTTACTGTCAAGCGCATCGGCAAACTGCTTGCACCCAGCCTGAACAGCTTTAACGTATTCTTCAATCTTGTCGGGGGTCTTGCTGTCATTGACCTTTTCTTGGATGTGTTGTTGGACCTTTTCACCGGCCGGACGAGTAATTTCCCCAAGTTTTTCCTGAATTTTGGTTGCGATTTGGTCCTTACCCTGCACTGTGATATTGTCATAATATTTGTCAATCTTTTCCTTCACAATATTATTATGCTTCAAAATTTCTTTAATGCATTTTTCTACCATAGTGGCAAACATTGCTGGCCCGCTGAACTGTGTGGCATACCCTTTCACTCCTTCTACAATATGATCTAGAAAACCAAGTTGTATATTTTTTGCATTATCCCGTCCAGCAATTTTATCTGTCTCCTCTTCAATAGCTGTCTTAATCTTCTTAGGCAACGTCCCCCGGACATACTCCTCTATTTTATTCTTGATTTCTTCCTTAAGCGCTTCTATCCTTTTCCTCAACTCAGTTTCAATACCACTCAACGCTGGGCCCACCTTTTCCTGAACCTCTAAATAGGTGTTCTTAAGATTGTTCAATTTAATCTCAAGCATGTCCAATTGCTGACTAACCATAGCAAAAATGCTACTGAGTCCACCGGCAATTTCGGTAGTACCAAGTCCGTTAACTTTGCCTTCGATCCCCTCCAACTTATCGAGAATCTTACTGCGATACTCCGTGTGCAATCTGTTGCCATATGTTTGTGCCAGTGTCACATCTGTAACCAACTGGTTCACATTCTTCATCAACGCCGCTAGGTCATCGGTTTGCTTCTGCTCAATCTTCTCAATACCACCACTTATGGCCTCAAATCTGGCCCCCAAATTTTGCTGAAGCAGTCGCGCTTTCTCATCAATCTGCTGTCTGACATGCTGTTCGTTACTGGTAATAGCACTGTCTACAGCCGTCACCTTGCCGCCCTCTTCCATCTTCCCAGCCACACTACTCATGTGCTCGATAACCTTAGTTATCGGCTTCATCTCTACGTCTATTCTACCTTTAAGTGCGCTATCTAACTTATTAATTTCTGTTTTTACATCACTACTAAGTGCGCTAGAAATTTTACTAAGTGTCTGCTTCCACGCCGCCAGTTGGTCGGCAAGTGGGTTGGTGGCTTCCCTCTCCACGGCTTGATAAAAATCATTATTCACACCTGCAACAACATGAGACCCATCATGTAACTTACCTATAAGTGCAGATAATCCATCGGTCACTCCTCTTGTCTTGCTATCAACTTGTCCATTATATTTCCCCAACCACACCTTCACCTTGGTGACAGACTCCGAAAGGCCATTACGCCCGGTACCAATTTTAGAAAATACATCACGAAGAACATTATCTAAACCATCATTATTATTTGATAATTTAATGTAATTATCATATATCTTAACACTCTCATCATCTTTTACACTCTCAAGAACACCATGAAGGAAAGACATCACCCCGTCGCACAGCCTGTCAAGGTCCGAGTACACAATTCCTTCTCCGGTGTAATTACCATCATGGTAGCCGAGAAAATTTTCGAGGCCTGTGCAGAGGTTTTCTAAATGGTTTTTACAGTTATCACTTTGTGGAGTACCAAGAGATTTAAAAGACTCATTAAGGCTCTTCAGCCTCTGAAGAGCATCCAACTTGGACTGATGAGACTCATGAGACTTATTAAGGTCATCGGGGACAGACATTTTTTGCTTTTTAAGTTCCTCTATTTTAGGTTTAAGAAGCTCAATTTCTGTATTAAAATGCTGAATTTTCTCATCAAGCTCACCATCATCTATGAGCCCAGCAGACACGGAAGTGGGAGAATGCGCAGGCGAAGACTGAGAGTTTTTAAGGCTTTTGAATTCAGGATCACTGTCAATAATTGCGTCAATACCATCATTAATTGCTTTAGTAACAGCGTCACTTTTGCCAATAAATTGGCCAAGCTTCCCACTGAGCTCAGCAAGAGACACCATCCTGGAGTGGACGTCCTTGAGTTGAGCAGTCCTGTCAGACTCAGAAAGGGAGTGATACTTGGCAACATGATCTTTCAATTGGGATTTAAGGTCATCGATTTTAGAGTCATTTTGTGAGTTATCAGTGGATTTATCAGAATTTTTAAGCAAGTCAATTTGCTCGTTAAGAGACTGACAGTGGGACTTAGGAGAGCCATTAAAAGTGTAATGTCCGAGACAATTAAGGTTATTTCGCTTAGTTGAAAGGCTAGTATTGGCGCTATTAATAGCATCACCAATCAACTTTTTCAAGGCTTTCGCCAACTCACCAAGACCATCATTGTTACCATTCCCATGCTTAACCTGGATCAACCAGTCGATGGAGGCCGACGAAGGAGGCCAAGAGAAAGAGTGAGAAAAGTGGGAGAAAAAAAACAATTAAAGGGCACATTTTTAGGGCGATTTGGTGGAATTTGGGGAAAGGCGATTTTAGGTCAAGGAGGCAGCAGAAAAGTGACAAGTGAAGGGGAAAAGAGGCGTGAGGAGGAATTGGGTTGAATAAGGAATTGGAAATGGAAAAAGCGAAAAATGTGGAGTGATGGCGTAAAGAGGAAAGGTGGAAGGAGGGCGAACTGTTCAATAAAATAAATGTTGGTGAAGTGGTGATAGAGTGAGTGAAGTGAAGGTGAGTAGGTGGTGTAGTGGTTGAAGTAGGCGAGTAGTTGAAGTGGTTGATGGTTGAAGTGAGTGGTTGAGTGAGTGAGTGGTTGAGTGGTTGAAGTGAGTGATTAGGTGGGTGAGATTGTTGAAGTGGGTGAGTGAGTGGGTGATACACAGATCACACGTGAAAGCGATCATAGTGAAGTACCAACGTTGGCGAATGCCTTGACGCGATGCGGCAGCGAGGAGACTACGCGGCGATGCGGTGGCGAGAGCGATCTCAGGGAGCGTATCCTCAGGACGTCAAAACAGACGACAACGATGTGCAGCAAGTAGAAGCAACAGCGACAGAAACTAATAAAAATGAAAAAAAAATGTTGAAAAATCATTTAAACTTATTTAAGGGCAATTAGAAATTAGAGAGAATAGCGATTAGGTGAAGAAAACACAAGGAGGTCGTGTAAGACAAGTAAAAGAAGTGAGGCAAAAGTAATGAAGAAGATAAGTAGAATGACAATTCGGAGGATAAAGAAAAAGTAAAATAAATTCAGGTGAGGAACGCCAACAGAGAAAATGAAAGATGTCGGAAAACAAAACAAGAAAAATGAAGTAATTGAGTAGATTAAGATGAAATATATAGAGTGAATTAAATTAAGTTAAGTAAATATAGGTAAGTGAAGTCAAATGGTAGAAATGCGTGAAGATTGGGTAAAGTAGGTGGTAATTAGGTAAGTATAAAGTAGTAAATGGGTGGGTGATTAGGTAGTATATGAGTGAGTGAGTGGGTGATTAGGTGAGTGGTTGAGTGGTTGAGTGGGTAAGTGGTTGAGTGAAGTGGGTGAGTTGAGTGGTGAAGGCACGATTACGGTGAGAAGTACTTGACGTTGGCGAGTGCCTTGACGCGTGCGGCGGCGAGGAGGGACTGTGCGGCGATGCGGTGGCTTTTGGGCGAGCGCAGGTGGGAGCGTATCCTCAGGACGTCGAGGCGGACGACGGCGATGTGCAGCAGGTACAGGAGCGACAGCGACCAGAGAAATAAGAGGTAGGAGAAAGGGTGTGCGAATTGCCCAGATGAATTCGTCGATTTCTTCAAACAGCTTCTTGAAGTATCCGTCGTACAGCACTCTATGTAACTGTTTAACAAAATCATCACACGTCCGCCTGGTATTGTGTGCATATAGTGTTGCAGGTACGCGGAATGTGAGACCGTATTGGTAGAACACCGAGAGACACCTTGACATCCGACGATGGATTCACAATGACAACTTTTCTTGCATTGCGTCGGATGCAATTGTCCCTTGGATACGTCTTCTTCGCATACACCATGTTTTCCAGGTGGACATTTGCAAGGACACCCAAATGATTTACAGGACATATGTTTGAACGAGTTTAGTAATTCATCTAGTAAATTCCAGAACTCCCATGCGAGGTATGCGCACCATGATAGATACAACGCCGAATGCTTCACGGCATAAGTATGATACGCATTTTTGCTGAGTGGGTGGAGGTAAGGGGCGCATGGATTTGGTGACTGACATGAATACTTGGTAGTGAGACTGTGTAGATCCTTGTGACCGGGCATTATAGCGTCTTTCACAGTTGTCGTAATGTGTTCGTCTTTTGCATTGTGTAATTTTGCAGCGCACCTGTAAGACCTCTAGCATCGTATTTTTCGTGAAGCGACATACAGTATTTGAATGGGAAACAGCCGGGGATTGTGTGACTGTTAATGTGAGTTGTGAATTCGCCATTGTCAATATACTTACCGTTATTTTTCTGGAATATTTGGCAATATAGGGACAGCATCTCTGCCAAAGTCTTTGGAGGATAAGGTTTCAGTGACAGCAAACATCGTAGCAAAGAGGATAGTGGTGAGCTTGCGTTTTTGCAGAAACCACTCAAGACATTCCATATGTCGATACCCTTTCGTGGCACCGATGCTGCATGAGTCAAGTCCCAGAAACCCATCGGAGTGATACACTGTTGCCCCGCGCGCCCTTTGGGCAGGTGGAACATTTAGGTGCACAGCCTACGGATGCTACTTTATGCGGTAAGCAGCCAGGTAGCTGGTCCATTAAGTGGGACTGGAGTGGAGACTTTGGTTGACAATTTGATTGGCCATTTGGTTGGCCATTTGGTTTACTACTTGGTTGGCGATTTGCTTTATCCGTTGAGTGGACATTACATGGCCAGCTTGATGATGGCACATTTTTGCCGTAGTCACAGTCACGCCATCCATGTACTTCGGACCCGGATCGACATTGGCTATACAAGAAGTACATTGAACATAATGCACGTCTACATATATCAGTGAGCACATCGAATAGGCTGGCTACGTCGGATGGGTAATGGAACCCTCGGGAGTTGTCACGGAAGTTACAGGCATATGGGTAATCAACGTTGGGGCACCGTGACCGTTTCCGGATACGGTAACAAGTACATCGTATGCCTTTTGTGTTGTGGAGGTTATGTAGCTGGATAAGTTATGTTCAAGCATTGGTAAGATGACGCTGTCCTTCTTATACGACTCATCTTTATCAAGCAATGATTTACAATAACCATTAATTTGACTGTAGACACTAGTGTAAGGAAGACCTGTAAGCCATGTAAGCATATCACGTACACTGCAGGGGTATTTAGGTGAAGGTGGAAGTGTTAAGTGGCATGTCGTGTAATATGTTTTTAAGTGTCCGGTCAGCTCAGAAAGTGTTTTGCTTTCATATCCCTTTCCGTTATTCTTATTAAACAACGTCTGACCGTTGACCTCTGTCTCAAGCAGTTCATAAATGGAAGAACCATTCAAATCTCTTCTCACCTCGCCATCCTGCTTGTCTCCTACAGCGCAAACACTGTAGTCACAATCAGCAAGGAAGGCAGGTAGACTGCCGTCTAAGTTGCCGAAACATTTCTTAGTTCTCCAACCGGTGTTATGGCGGCGCTTTCTCATATTGGTTAACCGGCTCTCTATGATTGGGATTATTGTAGCACATATTTTGGCGCATTTCATGGCGTCTTCCGACGGTTCCTTTTCTTGTTGCACAGACACCGTAGTTGCAGCGGATGCTGGAAGGGGAACCGATTTTGGAGCGCCAGTTGAAGACGTAGTAGATGTTGGAGTCTGTTTTGGTTTCTGCCAATCGATGGTCTGTCTAGAATATCTGGAGACATATGCGTTGCGTAGGTGTGTGACAAAATCATTGAACCCTTTTTTCAAAGGCCTCAGCACTATCTTCTGTCCATCGTTCATGACGTCGGGATTAAAACCCCTGAGTGAATTTTCAAACTCCAAGCGCTTTTCGGTAACAAGGCAATCAAAGTGCTGGGAATCTCTGATGCGCTGGAGCAATATGTCAAGAGAGCTCGACACCTTTTCAATTTCCGCTTTCTGAGACTTTACATCGCTTTGTTCACTGAACATTTGGAAAAAATCTTTGAAGCCTATCTTGACCCTTAGGACAAGTTTGCTCAGTGAAGAATGCATTGCAGGATCGATGCTGGAAGTGTAACGCGGAATATGCTTAAGTTCTTTAATTTGTTCCATCAAATGCGTATTCAACTTGTTAAGCATACCTTTAAGACCATTCTTCTTATCAGCTTCAATAATCTTCTTTATTTCCCCTTCTTGCGCCACGACTAAACTGTGTAAGGCATTTAAGTCCTCTTGATGTTGTTTGCAGAACATTTGTTTTACCTTGGTGTGGACAGATATGAAGGCTGTTTTGACTTCACTGGTGAGTTGTTCTTGTAAGTCGGAAATACCGTCAGTCAAAGTCTGGCGTGCCGTGTTAACGGCCAACGTGGCGTCGGTTATTGCGCCGCGGAGAGCTTCATCAAATTCCTTAATAGCCTTATCAATTTCCTCAATGCGCCTTTTAAGATCTGCAACTTTGTCTTTCAGGGACCCGACCTCATCTTTCATGTAACCTTCGGCAGATTTATCAATCCCGCTAACTAGAGGCTTGAGCTTATCGATCTTCTCTTGAAGCTCGTCAATGAAATGTTGAACATTGTTCGACTGGCCAGCGCCTTTGGGTTTCTGCAGCCTATCAATCTGCTCTCCTATCGTAGGTCCAATGTTATCAACGTGGCTGGAAATAATTCTATTCACTTCTTCATTTAACAGCTCTATACCTTTCCCGGCTGCTTCGGTGAGTAGAGGTTCGAGTGGGTTGGTGAAGTCTGCGTCGACTCTGCCCCTTCCCGCTTAGCACTGTCGGTAACGGTAACATCTGGGCCGAGGTGGAGGACAGACCAGGATCCGAGGGCGCAGCGCCTGTCCAAGCTCAGTCTCAAGCTTCGAAACTTTGGGATACACTTCCTGAAGGTCCTCGATTTTTTGAAATGACGGACTTGATGCCATTGGAGGCCTGCGATTTATTTTCACTATATTTGCCGAAATGCACGGTGTTGGAAAGGTTGAATTTGTTACCAGTGGGTTTGATTTGGCCATCGTTGAAATACGTCTTAAGCCGTGCTGTAATGGCGTCAATTCTGGCTTTAAGTGAGTGAGTCATTTTGGTCGCCGTTTGTTTTCGTATAGGCAAAATATTCTCGCATTATACCAGTTTTACTAATATCTATTCTACCTTGATTCTCCCAATATTTTCACCCAGTATCTTATTAATCGTCTTCTCAATATTAGTGGTGAGAGGCACAGCGCTGACGGCGAGAGCAGCACGGGTGAAGGGTTCACCTTCGGAGCCGACAACCTTTTAAGATTTGCAGATAACTCTTCCGCAATTTGAAAGGCATTCCTAACGTTTGCCGCAATGCTGATGTTCAACGTACCATCCGTATTGATGAACGATACAACATCGCTAGCTGCTTGCCGGGCAATGGCCGATATGGCAGCTAAGTTGCTTCAACTGCGACTCGGAGATTATAACCAGCATATCCTGTGGGTTTGGGGTTGGA